TTTGATGACAAATTTGGCTTCGAATTCAATTGGCCAATCCGACCAATCCGGATGAGGAGCATCTTAAGAAGGCTCCTTAAAAGAGCGAGCGTGCTTGGAAGATGTTTTGGGAGCCATTTGGATGAAGGGAATTGGTTCAGGACTTTGGTCAAGCACTTAGTGGGCAGTCCTAAAAATCAAAGAGCAAAATGATGGGGGTAATGGTCAAAACCCAAAAATTTTGAACCTACAAATGGCACACTACAAGCCCCAAACATACTCTACCTCTAACACAAAATCAAGCTCCATCCTCCTTTAAAAATAAATGAAATGAAATAAAGAAGAAGTTTGAAGGAAGCTTACCCCAGTGGAGAGTGCAAACCTTGTCTTGCTTGATGCCAAGGAGGGAATAGTGATAGAGGAAGATGAGATAGAGATTAAGAGGAAGAATGAGAAAGGGAAAAGAGAAAAGAATGAGGAAAGTTAGGGTTTGGGGAGAGGAAGAGACGTAGTGAGTGAGGGAGAAGAGAATTAGGAAGAAAGAAGGCTTTTTAAAATTCAAACTTGGGCTTGGGATATGTATTGGGCCTTGGCATCCAGACGCAGGGTTTTGCGTCCAGATGCGAGGTGTCAATGGGTTGCGCTGGGACATGCCATGCGCGTAGCTGACAAGGCTATTAGTGCTTCGCGTCCAGACACGAAAATGGCTGAGCTCGAAAAATTCCCTAATTAGAAACTTAAGCTCCATAAGGCCCTAGAAACCAAGAATGATCATCAGAACAACATTTGGAACCTTCCCATGAAAGTGCTATTTTTATGCTCCGAAATTAATGGTCTTTATTGCATTTTATTGCATTTTAAGGCTAAGCACCTGAAAATAAGAGAAACACAAAACGCATATAAGGTATACAACATTAGTACAAAAATGGACTAAGATATGCAGTTTAGGGCGCTTGAATATAAAATATTCGATGCTTATCAGTGCACGTTCACTTTGGCACACAACACCATATTTCATGAAATGAGCATCCTTTGGACTCATTTTCCATTTCTTTTGCAAAATCTGATCTAAGGGCATTTTGGAGCTTTTGCTTTGAAAAATAAATTCCGGCCTTGACATGGCCACATAGAAAATATGATTTTTTTTTTTTTTTTGGGGGGGGGGGGGGGGGGGTTTCTTCTTTGTGTTTTTTCAAAAAATGTTGTCTCAGTCTTGAAACACGTCAAAACTGATTTTTTTGTGCGAGTACTATTTCGGAAAAAAGTCTGATCTAAAGGGTATTTTGGGGTTTTCACGTCAAAAATTATTTTAAAGGGGGTTTCTTCTTCGTGTTTTTTCCAAAAAACGTTGTTTGTTGCCTCAAAACGACACATTATTTCAGCATTTTTCTATCGAGCACTATTCACGGCCGCGACAACGTCAAAACTTTGTTTCAACTTTTCTCTTCTGTCCGGACTCCGAATCAAGTAATTCTTGAGTCTATCTTCGTTAAATTTTCGCTATCTATCCAATGGTGCGCTTGGTACAACCCATAACTTTCTAGAAATAACCATTTTGCCCCAGGACTAAACTTGTCCATTTTTAAAACGTCGTTTCCACATTTTTGTTTTATTTTTAAGTTCCGTGGCTTTATGGAAAGCCATGTTTGTGTCTTATAGATGACATACATCTCTTGAACCCATGTTTGCATTTGAATTGACCATTTTGCCCTTGGAGGCATACTTGGTCTATTTTTACAATTTTGCATCCACATTCGTTTTCTTTTGGTTCTGTAGCTTCATGGGAAGCCATACTTGTATCTTAGGGATACCGAATATCCCCATAGACTTTGCTTTCTGTTTTGGCTTCTGTATTCTGGATCCATTATCAGATCATCCTTCGAGTCATCACAGGGAGCACTGGATTGAAAAATCTTGTGCCATCACATTGATAACATCTTTTATATATATATATATATATATATATATATATATATATATAGTAATTTGAAGAGACAATGGAAGAAATATAGAAGGAGCAAGAGGTATATTATTAATATATTTTCTCAAGTCCATCATCAAGGCCAACATTAAGTAGTATGTGTAGGTTTTAAAACATGACTACTACAAAATTGGGTTTTAGTAACAGTCCTGTAGTGACAGACCAAAAAACATCCCTAAAGGGTCTCCTTATGTACACTGTCTCTAAATACTTAACGTGCGGCCTTAAATTGTTTTTGGGGAAGGTTTAGCGCCCTTTCTTTAGTGTTATGCGTGTTAAAATATTTTCATTTATTTCACTTTTCATATAAATGAATAAGGAAAAGAGCCAGGCTACATCATTTTGGCCTATTTGTATAATCTCTATACTTACCCAACTCCCAATCTCAGTCTAATCTCTATACAAACACCTTTGTACTCCACCAAACGCCTCTCTCTCCCTACTAAAATTCTTCCCTCATGCTCCACAGGATGGCTCCCTTTCTCTCTCTAATCACTCTTCCCTCGAGTTCAATAGATCGTGTAGTTTTGGTCCTTCTTTAGGTGCTAAGTTTTTATTTTTATTATTATTTTTGTGGATAAGCTTATTTCTTCCCTCATACTCCACAGGATGCCTCTCTTTCTCTCTCCAATCACTCTTCCCTCAAGCTCAACAGATCGTCCAGTTTGGTCCTTCTTCAGGTACTAAGTTTTTACTTTTATTATTATATACTTTTGTGGATAAACATATTCCTTCCATTAGCAAAATTTATTTTTTTTATTTTATTTTTTTATTTTTGTGGATAAGCCTATTCCTTCCATTAGATTTGTTCCATCTGATTCATTTATTGTAACTTTCTGACATATTTTAGTTAATTATTTGTCTCGTGTCTGTACAAGACTACTACTCGTGAATATTATCGGTTCCAAAATCAATTAATCAGTAATATTTATAGTTGCTAGAAACATAGATCACTAATTTTTGCACCTAATGATTATAGCTATGTCTTGGCATAATTTATTCAAAAGAAATTATTTCTTTTTTCCTTTGTTCCTTTCCTAACCTTGTTATAGAAAGTAAAAGGGATCATACTATCTCTGGAGCTTTGGTTTCTTCAACAGGGTTATTCTATTAAAAAATTTATGTTAGCTGCTTTTAAATTTCATTACTATTGCCAATTAAATACATAAATGATTATTATAAAGCAATTATTCAATAGCTATTTTCATTATAAGTACTTTATATTGATTGGAGGAACACTAATAAGAAAAATCGTTCTCCTCTGTCATGTGAAACTTATAACCCTGATTGTATTTTTTTCCTTCCCTATTTTTTATTTTTTATTTTTTATTTTTTTATTTATTTATTATTATTATTATTTTATGTTTTTAGGTTTTGAAATTGTTGGAAGGGATCTTTACTATCAAAATAAGACCTCACTCATGTCTTCTTTTTGGGGATAAGGGGGTCGAGGATGATGGTGCAGCTAATTGATGCAGAGCTTTTAGAGGTAGTTTGACAAAAGACATCATTTCAAATTAATTTTATTTTTCTGGGCTGAATCTATTTTTTTTTTTTTTTTTTTTTTTTTTTTTTTTTTTTTTTTTGGCTACTATAATTTACATAGCAAGAGTTGTTCATACTCTTTCATTAAGACGTTAAAAATAGTAAACAATTTCTTCTTCGCAATCAATATATTAGCTTAACAAAAGAATTTCATTTCTTGACTTTATAGATGTAGTAGGTTGATGGAATATATGAATTTATCAAAGTTTTGATTTGATTTAATTTAGACTGCTAATTTATAGGGAGAAAAAAGCTATATCTTTAATTTTGGTAACTAAAATAAATGGAGAAAATGAGTTTTCTTTCATTTTGGTAGGATTTAAACCAAAATATAGTTCTTTTAGACTTAGGATTGGTTGAGAGTTTATCTTTTAGCATCTATTGAGTTATATTACACTCTTCTGGTAAATAATATATATTTAGTGCTATTCTTTTGTTCATGTTTATTGCTGCCAAGTGAATTTTTATTTATTTTTATTTATTTTTTTTTGTCTTGCCAATTAAATTTAGGTTTGTTACATGGTTTGCAAACATAAAATAGATTGTGGGCTGGAATTAATTATGTTTCTTTAATTTGGGAAGGGTATATTTCAATTCATCTTAATCATGATTATAGTGTTCTTTAGTTGGTAAGTTAATATACGCTTAGTATGTGTCTTTTCAATGATCTTTGTATTGTTGAACATTGTTGTTGGGTAAAGAATAATTTCGGATATAGTAGTTTCGGGGAAAATTTATTAACATTATTGGCTTAGGTTCAATTATGAATGGTGGTGTGTGCTATTAAATTTGGTTATCACTTTTATCTCAATTCTAAGAGTTAATTGTGTTTTATCTGAATTGCAGGATGAATGGTATAAAAGTCTTCACAAATGCTTTAAATTCTTATGGCGCCAATCCAAAGAAAAATGATGTGGAGAAAATGCATTCATTATCCAGCTAGGACTTGGAGGAACATATGCTCATGGGTTTCGACATGGCTTTATGGTTGCAAGTTCCTCAAGTCGTCCTCTTTCATCTTATGAAGAGGCTGTTGTTCATCTTATGAAAGAGGCCCTACTAGAAAGAAGGCAGAAATTGCTCAGCAAAATAATTTTCAAATGGAGGGCAATTTGAATGACCAATATGATTGTATTATCTTGATTCAAGACATTTGAGCATTAAGGATTTTTTTTTTTTTAGCTGAATATTTCATTAACCCTGTATGCTAATCTTGAATAATATGTTTATTTGAGGTTTTATATGTTGAATTTTTGGCTAGTAGTATGTGTTGTATATATTTAATTTGATAATGGTTTATTGAAGTTTGTATACATTCTTGTAGTTAAAAGAAAAAAGAAAAAAACATACAAATCTAGTAGAGCTAAAAAAAAAAAATAGTAATAGTAATTAAAGTATTAGGGATGGTTTTAGCTGTCATGAATGTAATAATAAGTAAAATATTAGGGACTCTTTAGTGACAGTTTATACTGGCTCTATTTAGGTAGTAGATACCCTACCGTAGCCCCAAGAATCCCTCCCGGAACCCCAAGCCAAGAGCCCCAAGACCAAGTGCCCCAAGAAGAACTTGTTTCCTCCGACGACGATGAATGACCTTACGATCGCGCTTCTCTTGAAGATCGCACTCCTCCTGAAAAGAATGAGAAGTACAATACATCAGAATGCCAGATTAGTGTCATATTGGCATATATCATTAAAGGATCATGTATGGAGGGCATCTCCAATGCAAAATGCTATATTTTCATACTAGCTAAATCTATATTTTGAGAGGAGGTATGGTGTCAAAATGCTATATTTTTGCAATTATGCTCCAATGGAGCATTTAATTAAAAATGTTATTTTTTGACACAATAACCATTCCATGTTTTGAGAGCCCATTGGAGTGCCTTATTTTCATTTTAGTAATTTTTGATAATCTCAAAATATGAGAGGTTTTGAGGGCCCCATTAGAGTGCCTTATTTTCATCCACATGTTATATTTTGAGTTTAAGAGGCTATTTGAGAGCTGCTATATTTGGTAACACTTTTTTTTATTATTTTTTTTATTTTTTTAGTAAATCCTTCAGGACTACTATTCCTTTTCACAAACTTCAATATTCTTCGGAAGAAGTCAATTTTTTTACCAAGATAATGCAGTTTTTAGTATAGTAAATTTTACATGTAATATTGCTTCAAAGTTCATAAGGATTTGATTCAATTATTTCAATAAATTAATCATAATGAATGATCTCTTGAATCCTTATTTATTCATTGATGAGCATAATTTTAATTCCAAATAAACAAAGAGACCACTTTATTTCAAATTCGATGAATGACACAACATTTATAGAATAAATTGCAAGACAAGAACTTATAAAAGAGAAACAAATTTCTGAAAGAGCATAATGTATAATTATATACCAGTTGAGAAATTGCTCGAGCGACCATAGGATCAGTTTCTGCCTTAAACTGCCTCCACAGAGACTTGCACTACATGGGCATAATCAGAGTGTTTTTTGGATGGACCTAGATAAAAGTTCTTCCTTTATAAGGAATCAGTTCAACCTAAAAAAAATTACATATGATACAAAATTACGAGCATTATATAGTTATAACTACCTTCTTCCACGTGCTCGAAGCAAGAGGATCTACAGAATCTCCAATGCTCCTATCCTGGGTAAAAGGAACAGCCACTGTTCCACTGGATTCCTCATCCAATTGTATATCATCGGATTCCTCATCTAATTTTTCATTCAATTATTCATTTTAAGGTTGTTGACATGTTCACATATTCACATCTCCTTGAAAATCAACTTTTATCCTTTGTTTTTAAACCAATTCATGAGAGGGTTTGAGGTTTGGGTTAAGCCTTAATGTTTTTGGCATATGACAGGTCTTATAGCAGCTTTTTGAGTCATTTTGGTCGTCTGAAATGTTACTTCGTTCGACCGATGGCTTTTGGGAAACTCATTGCACAGTAAAAACTCATTTCCAGTAGCCTTTTTCACTATTCATGACCATTTCGGTCGACCGATAGCCTATTTCGATCTACCAAAACAACCTCCCCTTAAAAATATGATTTCAGTAAAATTTCTGTCCAATTCAGTCATTTGAAACTCCATTTCGATCGATCGAAATAGCTTACATACATACAGCCTCTCTGTTATGTTCCAGCACTGATGTTCTAACTTCAAAGGGTTATATCTCCTTCATTTCTAATCCAAATGGGGTGATTCTTGAGTCTAAATTCATGAATTTGGAGTCAAATTTCCAATGGTACTAATTCCATTATCTGATTCAAACCACAGTGGGAGTTATTCATGTTTTAGTGAGGTAGAATCGGTTTTTGCTTAAACCGGGAAAGGGCATTTTGTCGGATTCTTGGCCAAAGTTTTTAGAACCTCTTGGAATGTTGTGAAATAACTAGGTTAGGTTGTGTTCACCTTTTTTGACTTGTTTAGAGTCAAGTTTCTCTTTTTATTTATGAATTGACCATTTTACCCCTTGGTTAATAGTTTTTGCTCGTTTTGACCTTTGTTTTTGCTTTCATTTCCTTTGAGTTCCGTGACTTCATGGAAGGTCACATTGGTGTCTTGGGGATGATTTATATCTCTATAGACTTTAGTTTTTATCTTTCGCTTCAGCATCTCGGATCCGTTATCGAATCAACTTTCGGTTCATCACTGATGCACCGAGTTGAAAAACTTAGCCGTCACAAATGTCATTGATGGTGAATGCATAAGGCACTCCATCAATGGCGGTCTTGATTAAGGTTGGCTCAGTGCAAGAATAGTTCATGTTGGTATAAAATTCCCGAACCAAGCATAGGCAAAATTAAGAAATACAAGGTTTGAACAACGCACTAAAGCCGCGATCTTTCAATTCCTTAACTGCCTATGTTATCTCTGGGTGTTCCTTAAACTCTTCTTTGATGAAAAATTTGGCTTCAAATTCAATTGGCCAATCCGACCAATCCGGAGGAGGAGCATCTTGAGAAGGCTCCTCGGAAGAACGAGCGCGCTTGGACGATGTTTTGGGAGCCATTTGGATGAAGGGAATTAGTTCAGGACTTTGGTTGAGCACCTGGTGGGCAGTCTTGAAAATTAAAGAGCAAAATGATGGGGGCAATGGTCAAAACTCGAAAATTTTGAACCTGCAAATGGCACACTATAAGCCCCAAACATACTCTACCTATAACATGAAATCAAGCCCCATCCTCTTTTGAAAATATATGAAATGAAATAAGGAAGAAGTTTGAAAGAAGCTTACCCCAATGGAGAGTACAAACCTGGTCTTGCTTGATGCCAATGAGGGAATGGTGATAGAGGAAGATGAGATAGAAGAATGAGAAAGGGAAAAGAAGAAGAGAATAAGGGAAGTTAGGGTTGGGGGAGAGGAAGAGACGTAGTGAGTGAGGGAAAAAAGAATTAGGAAGAAAGAAGGCTTTTTGAAATTCAAACTTAGCCTCGGGATATGTACTGGGCCTTAGCATCTGGACGCAGGGTTTCGTGTCTGGATGCGAGGTGTGAATGGGCTGCACTGGGGCATGCTACGTGCACAGCTAACAAAGTTGTTGGTGCTTCGCGTCTGGATGCAAGATCATACGTTTGGACGCAAAAATGGCCAGGGGCTGTTTTTTCATTTTGGCCGAACGAAGGTCCAGCTGAGCTCGAAAAATTCCCTAATTAGAAACTTAAGATCCATAAGGCCCTAGACACCCAAAATGATCATCGGAATGGCATTCTGAACCTTCCCGTGAAAGTGCTATTTTTATGGTCCGAAATTAATGGTCTTTATTGCATTTTGAGGCTAAGCACCTCAAAATAAGAAAAACACAAAAACGCATATAAGATGTACAACATCAATACAAAAATGAACTAAGATATGCAATTTAGGGCAGTTGAATATGAAATATTTGGCGCTTATCAGTGTACATTCACTTTGGCACACAACACCTCATTTCATGAAATGAGCATCCTTTGGACTCATTTTCCATTTCTTTTGCAAAATCTGATTTAAGGACATTTTGGGGATTTTGCTTGAAAAATAAATTCTGTACTTGACATGGTCACATAGAAAATGTGATTTTAGGGGGGGTTTATTCTTTATGTTTTTTCAAAAAATGTCGTCTCGGTCTCGAAAAGCACACGTCAAAACTGATTTTTTGGTATGAGTACTTTTCAGGGAAAAAGTCTGATCTAAGGGGTATTTTGGGGTTTTCACATCAAAAATAATTTTAAGGGAATTTCCTCTTCGTGTTTTTTCAAAAAAAATTCATTTGTTGCCTCAAAACGACACACTATTTCAGCATTTTTCTGCCCAGCACTATTCACTGCTATCAAAATACTATTCACAACCGTGACAACATCAAAACTTTATTTTGACTTTTCTCTCTTGTCCGGACTACAAATCAAGTGATTCTTGAGCCTATCTTTGTTAATTTTTCACTGTCTATATAATGGTGTGCTCGGTAGCACCCATAAATTTTTGAAAATTATCATTTTGCCCCTAGGGCTAAACTTATCAATTTTTAAAACGTCACTTCGCATTTTTTTTTTTTCTTTTAAGTTCTGTGGCTTCATGGAAAGCCATATTTGTGTCTTAGAGATGACTTACATCTCTTGATACCTTGTTTCATGTGAAATGACCATTTTACCCTTGGGGATATACTTGGTCTATTTTCACCATTTTACTTCTGTATTCGTTTTCTTTTTGTTCTGTGGCTTCATGGGAAGCCATGTTTGTGTCTTAGGGATATTGAATGTTCCCATAGACTTTGTTTTCTATTTTCGCTTCTGTATTTCGGATCCGTTATCGGATCATCCTTCGGGTCATCACAGGTCGCACTGGATTAAAAAATCTAGGGCCGTCACACTGATAACATGTTATAAATATATATATTTATATTTACATATAGAGAGTAATTTGAAGAGGTAATAGAAGAAATATAGAAGGAGCAAGAGGTAAATTATTAATATATTTTCTCAAGTCCATCATCAAGACCAACATTAAGTAGTATATATAGGTTTTACGACATAATTTTACTTAGTGCCCAAGCCACAGCCCCAACCGCAGCCCCACCCGCAGCCCCAACCGCAACCCCTACTGGCCCAACCGCAACCCCAACCGTAGCTCCAACAACCCCAACCACAGCCACAATATCCAATAGTGTGTTACCCTCTGGAGGAGTGGGCTTGGGATCCTTCTGAAAAAAATGAGAAGTACAATACATCAGAATGCCAAATTAGTGCCTTACCGGCATATATCATTAAAGGATCATGTATGGAGAGCATCTCCAATGCAAAATGCTATATTTCCATACTAGCTAAATCTATATTTTGAGAGGTACAGTGTTAAAATGTTATATTTTTGCAATTATGCTTCAATGGAGCATTTCATTCAAAATATTATTTTTTGACACAACAACCATTCCAAGTTTTGAGAGCCTATTGGAGTGCCTTATTTTTATTTTAGCAACCTTTGACAATCTTAAAATATGAGAGGTCTTTTGAGAGCCTCCTGTTAGAGTACCTTATTTTCATCCAGCTGCTATATTTTGAGTTTGAGAGGCCATTTGAGAGCTACTATATTTGGCAACACTTTTGACAATATCAAAATATGAGAAATCTTTTCAGAGGCCACTGGAGTGTCTTATTTTCATTTACTTATTATATTTTAAGTTTGAAAGGCCATTAGAGATGCTCATTCACCAATATTGACCATTGAAAGGATAAGAATATGGAAACAAAAACAAAACATGCTGAAAATATAAATTAGTGTATCAACATAATATTGACCTTTGGAGGAGTGGCCTCGCGATCCTCCTGAAAAGAATGAGAAGTACAATACATCAGAATGCCAGGTTAGTGCCTAATCGGCATATATCATTAAAGGATCATGTATGGAGGGCATCTTTAATGCAAAATGCTATATTTCTATACTAACTAAATATATATTTTGAGAGGAGGTGCAGTGTCAAAATGCTATTTTTTTGCAATTATGTTCCAATGGAGTATTTCATTCAAAATGTTATTTTTTGACACAACAACCATTTCATGTTTTGAGAGCCCATTGGAGTGCCTTATTTTCATTTTAATAACTTTTGACAATCTCAAAATATGAGAGGTCTTTTGAGAGCCCCCCATTAGAGTGCCCCCCATTAGAGTGCCTTATTTTCAACCACCTGCTATATTTTGAGTTTGAGAGGCCATTTGAGGGCTGCTATATTTGGCAACACTTTTGACAATCTCAAAATATGAGAAGTCTTTTGAGAAACTGTAATGTCTTATTTTCATCTACTTATTATATTTTGAGTTTAAGAGGCCATTAACCATTGAAAGGATAAGAATATGGAAACAAAAACAAAACATGCTGAAAATATAAATTGGTGTATCAACACAAGAAGAATAAAGTACGAACAGAAAGTGTATATAATGAAGCTTCTGATTCAAATTTTGTACATGGGATCTCAAACTATTTGAGTCTCATACCTTCACACGTGCAACTTTGAGTCTCAAGACTGCTATTCTTTCTTCTTCTTCTTCTTCTTCTTCTTCTTCAGTAATCCTTCAGGACTACTTTTCCTTTTCACAAACTTCAATATTCTTGGGAAGAAGTCACTTTTTTTACCAAGATTATGCAGTTTTTAGTATAGTAAATTTAAAATTGTAATATTGCTTCAAAGTTCAAAGGATTTGATTCAATTATTTAAATAAATTAATCATAATGAATGATCTCTTGAATCCTCATTTATTCATTGATGAGCATAATTTTAATTCCAAATAAGCAAAGAGACCACTTTCTTTCAAATTCGATGAATGACACCACATTTATGGAATAAATTGCAAGACAAGAACTTATAAAAGAGAAACAAATTTCTGAAAGAGCACAATGTATAATTATATACCAGTTCCAAAATTGCTTGACGGACCATAGGATCAGTTACTTCCCTAAACTGCCTCCACAGAGACTTGCACTGCATGGGCGTAATCAGAGTGTTTTTTGGAGGGACCTGGATAAAAGTTCTTCCTTCATGAGGAATCAGTTCGACCTAAAAAAATTTACATATAATACAAAATTACCAGCATTATATACTTATAACTACCTTCTTCCATGTGCTTGAAGCAAGAGGATCTGCAGAATCTCCAATGCTCCTATCTTTGGTAAAAGGTACAGTCACTGTTCCATCGGAGTCCTCATCCAATTGTATCTCATCGGATTCCTCATCCAATTGTATTGCAGCCAAAACAGATAAAAGCTTCAGAGACTGCAACATAATGATAAAATACACCATTTAGGAACTGCCAAATTATGCACATACAAGTAATATTAACTCCCATCGATCATGACAGATCTTTGCAGATTACCGCAGAGCCTGCGTCCTTCGCTTTTGTTATAATGTCTTCCTTCTTAGTCGGCTTTGAGTCAAAGTGGAAAACAGTTAAGAACCTGTATATGTTCCGAAGCTATAAGCACCAAAATGACAAAAAGACCAATTATAAAGCATTTCACCATTAAATTGGCTACCTATAATTCATGCGGATCGGAACTTTCCTTGCTTCCTCTCTTGCCTTTTTCTCCACCATACTTCTAGTGTAGTCCCTCAAATTTTGCAACAATCTGTCAATTGTTGCTTGGTTCAATTCAAAACTGGCAGTAGCAGTTAAAAAATCTGATGTGGCAGCCTCAGTCTCGCGTTTTAGTAGCTTTCTTATTGATGCCCAGGTGCCTTTTTCTCCAGCTTCGAAGAGGGATTCTACAGGTTCAGTCAGAGCTTCGGTAAGTTGTTTCTGCAAGTCAAAAAGATTCCTATGAGTTACATACAAAATGAACTAAGATTGCTTTTTTGGGAAAAAAAAAAATGATCTAAAAACAAAAAAGAAAAAAAGAAAAGAAAAAGGAAACCCGATTAGAACACCAATGAGTTGCACCACAACCATGAAATTACCTCGAAGTTAGCTACTATTTCTGACAACTTGGCACTACGAACAGATGACGCATGTGCCTCAATATCATGATAAAGTTTTTCCCCCACTTTTGAAGCATCCCAATTAGCTTGCCGTATGGCAGCATCTGAATGGGGGGAGAAATAGGCCATCAATTAAGTAAATGCACGAGTCTATAATTAAATGTTAACTAACTTACAATTTGAAAATCAAACCAAAAAAAAAAAATGAAAATAGAAATATAAAGAGGTTCTTGTTTCATTTTATTAACAACATAACTAGCAATGTTGGAAATTACTATACTTTTAAATTAATTTCAAAAGATTAGTAAAATAAAAAAAGAAGAAACAAAATGAAACATGATTACCAAAAATCATCCATTCTCAAATAGTTAAAACAGTAAAACCTGTATAATTTAATTCTAAGATCTTCAATGCATGTATTTTCTCAAGTATTGCATTACCAAAAAATGTAAATTATACTCCTGAAACGATAGTTAGTAAAAATATGGTGAAATATGTGTTTGTAAACATACGAATTTATTTGCTTTTCTTATTTAAAAAACATTTAAAAAATTGTCATAAAAAAACAAAAATGAAAAAATACAAATTGTTTGTGTTCGAGATTGTGTCTCAAATTCCTATTCTAATTAGGATTTTATTTTAGAGTTGCATTCAATTAGATAATTTCTTATTTGGCAAGTTTTGGCCTATAAGGAATTGTAATCATTGTGCAACAAAGAATTATGTTTGTAACTCTATAAATGGGTGTATATATGTTGTGGGTTGAGACTTATGAGATTGAGAGAGATGTAATCTCGTGAGGGAGTTGATGGGAAAAGGTAGTTTATGAGTTGATAAAGTAAAAAAAACACCGGTGACAATGATAGTGAGGGATTAGGCTCATGGAGTGGTATATGATAAAAAGGCATGTATATGGTGTTGTTACTCTATTGTTGTAATATATGTACGAATCATAGTGGAATCTCTTCTCATTCATGTACGTAGTCCGATTTTGGCTGAACCATGTGTATGTTGCGTTTGTGTGTGATTGCTCTAATACCAATTTGTTGGGGGCAGCGAAAGCGCATGAATAACAAAGATTCATTCTAACAAACGCCACAAACCAAAGTTGAATCAAGAATCACGGTAGAAAAGTAAACACACCACGTAAAGAACACGAAGATTTGTATGTGGTTTGGCAACAACCTACGCCCACGGTCGGGATCCGGCGAAAGTTTTTACTATATGTAAAATCGGAGATTATAAGATTTCAGCCCCTCACTCTGTTTCTGTATGAATTCCAGAGCCTCTTTCCCTCAATCTCTTTCAGAACTTCGTTACTCAAGCACAACAAAATCGTATTGTGTGCTTTCTCCATAACCTCATCTTTGTCCTTGATCTTTTCTAGCAGTGCATCTTTCCCCTTCAGCGCCTTAGATAACCCATGTTGAACCAACAAAGCCTGCATCCTAACCCGCCATAGGTTGAAATCTTTTTTGCCGTTAAACTTCTTGATTTCCATAAACTTGGACGATATCCCTGCTTCGAACCAAAGGCTCTGATACCAATTTGTTTCATGCGCTTCCGCTGCCCCAACAAATTGGTATCAGAGCTTTGCAAAGAAAGCCAATAAAGCAATCACACACAAACAAAAGATATACATGGTTTTGCCAAAATCTGCCTACGTCCATGGATGAGAAGAGATTCTACTATGATTCGTAGATATATTACAATAATAGAGTAACAACACTATATACATACCTTTTTAACATGTACCACTCCACGAGCCTAATCTCTCGATATCAGTGTCACCAGTGTTTTTTTTACTTTATCAATTCATAAATTACCTCTACCCATCAACTCCCTAATAAGACTATATCTCTCTCAATCTCATAAGTCTCAACCCGCAACATATGTACTCATTTATAGAGTTACAACATTATACCTTGTTAGACAAGGATTACAATTCCCTAGAAGCCAAAACTTGCCAAATAAGAAATTACCTAATAGAATACAACTCTAAAATATAATCCTAATTAGAATAGGAATTTGAGACACAATTTCCAATAATCTCCACCTTGGATAAAATTCCATTTAACTACTCATTTTGCTGCCTCCATATGCCCCTAAAGGCCTCAGCAACTCCAAGTACCAATCAATTCCAAACAATGTCTGAACTTTAGTGTAGGAATGACCTTAGTCATCATATCTACTGGATTCTCTGTTGTCCCAATCTTCTTCACTGCAATGGCACCCTGTGCAACCACATCTCTAATGAAGTGAAACCTGACATCAATGTGCTTGGTTCTCTCATAGAATATCTAATTTTTAATCAAATGTATGGCACTCTTGCTGTCGCAAAACACAATCAAATTATCCTGTTGCAAGCCCAAATCACCAACCAAGCCTTTCAATCATATAGCTTCCTTCACTGCCTCTGTAACTACCATGTACTCAGCCTCAGTAGTAGACAATGCAACTATGGACTGCAAAGTCACTTTCCAACTAATCACACTCCCACAAAGAGTAAAGACATACCCTGTAAAGGACCTCCTCCTATTAAGATCTCTAGCATAATCCGAATCAACATATCCAGCAACACTCCCACACGTGTCGCTGCCTCTGTCATAGACTAACCCAACATCTGCACTGCCTCACAAGTATCCTAATATCCATTTTACAGCCTGCCAATGGACCTTCCCAGGTTTATTCATGTATTTGCTCATTACACTAACTAATGCCTAGTCTAGTGCACACGATAGCATACAAATGGATACCAACTGCACTAGCATAAGGAACACGAGACATGTGTTCCACCTCCTCCTCGGTCTTTGGTGACAATCGTGCTAAAAGTCTAAAATGGGTAGCTAATGGAGTATTCATAGGTTTTGATGCCTACATACCGAAACGTTCCAGCACCTTCCCAATGTATTTCTTCCCTGAAAAATATAATATGCCCGCTTCTCTATCTCTATGAATTTCCATTCCTAATATGCCCTTTGCAGCACTAAGATCCTTCATCTCAAATTCACCAATAAGCTGCGCCTTCAACATGTTGATTTCAAACATGTTTTTGCAAGCCATCAACATGTATCAACATACAGGAACAAGTACAAATATGAACCATCTAAGAGCTTCCTGTGATACACATATCTGTCAAACTTACTCCTACATTAGCTATTCCCAACCATAAAAGTGTCAAATTGCTTGTACCACTATCTAGGAGACTACTTCAGCCTATACAAGGACTTCTTCAGTAGGCAAACATGATCTTCCTTTTTCTTGAAAACCCATTTACAACCAACAATCTTCTTGCCCTTAGGCTTTTTAACTAGCTCCCAAGGTAGTATCCAGAAGGTATGATGACTGAGGTCATTCCTACACTCAAGTTCAGACATTGTCTGGACTTGATTGGTACTTGCAGTTGCTGAGGTCCTTAGGGTCATGTGGAGGCGGCGAAAGAAGTAGCTGGATGGAATTTTAGCTAAGGTGGAAATTGTTTAAAATTGTGTCTCAAATTCCTATTCTAATTAGGATTCTATTTTAGAGTTGTATTCCATTAGGTAATTTTTTATTTGGCATGTTTTGGCCTTTAAGGAATTGTAATCCTTGTCCAACAAGGAACTATGTTTGTAACTCTATAAATGGGTACATATGTGGGTTGAGACTTATGAGATTGAGAGAGATATAGTCTCGTGAGGGAGTTGATGGGTATAGGTAGTTTATGAGTTGATAAAGTAGGAAAAACATTGGTGACACTGATAGCGAGGGATTAGGCTCATAGAGTGGTACATGGTTAAAGGGCATGTATATGGTGTTATTAGTCTATTGTTATAATATATCTACGAATCATAGTGGAATCTCTTCTCATTGATGGATGTAGGCCAATTTTGGTTAAGCCATGTATATCTTGTGTTTGTATGTGATTGCTTTATTGGCTTTCTTTATGTTCCGCGCGCTTTCGCTACCCAACAAATTGGTATCAGAGCCAAAGGTGAAGGAGATCTAAAAAACATAAGAAGTCTCAACATGTGCTGTAACAGGCTTCAGTTGTAGGTGCAGTCAATCAGCTTGGTTACATGACAAGGAGCTCAAGTAATCAAGTTGGAGCCATGGAGGTTTGACTGATCGAGCAGCGTAGAGTGTGGACAATCGGAGTTTTGTAGAAAGATCGTCAAGATTGAAGCTGCAATAGAATTGTCTTCATCAATGCCGTTGCGGCAAAAAGAGTAGCTGGATAAAATTTTAGCCAAGGTGGATATTGTTGGAAATTGTGTCTCAAAATTCCTATTCTAATTAGGATTCTATTTTAAAGTTATATTCTATTAGGTAATTTCTTATTTGGCAAGTTTTGGCCTCTAAGGAATCGTAATCCTTTTCAAACAAGGAATTATGTTTTTAACTCTATAAATGGGTACATATGTTGTGGGTTGAGACTTATGAGATTGAGAGAGATATAGTATCATGAGGGAGTTGATAAGTAGAGGTAGTTTATGAGTTGACAAAGTACGAAAAACACCGGTGTCACTGATAGCAAGGGATTAGGCTCATGGAGTGGTACATGGTAAAAAGGCATGTATATGATGTTGTTACTCTATTGTTGTAATATATCTACAAATCATAGTGGAATCTCTTCTCATCCATGGATGTAGGCTAATTTTGGCTGAACCATGTATATCTTGTGTTTATATGTGACTGTTTTGTTGGATCTTTATGTTTCGTGCACTTTCACTGCCTAACAGTTTTAGTACAACACTTTTTTTTTTTTGTTTAAGAAATTGTCATTAAAAATTCGATAAGAAATATGTAATTTTTCTTCTCTTATGCCTTGTATGTTTTCATTTCAGTAATATAAAAGACTAAAAATAATAAGAAATTATGGAGTGTTGTCGAGAGATAGAGGATTCTATATCATTAAAAAGTTTGTAGAAATTGGTAAATTCGAGAAGATTTCAAAAGTGTAGTAAGTTTGCAAATATGTATATATTTAGGTGGAGAGTTGTAGTAACTAAACTTTAACTATAGATTGTAATGTATCCTAACCAAAAAGGTCTATATATAGATAGACCTAAATTCTAAAAGTGAAGTTGAGAGAATAAAATTTAAGTGGAGAGCTGTACTAACTAAACCTTAACCATTGATTGTACTGT